CCCCCGGGGGGCGGGCGGCCCCCGCCGCGGCAGCCCCGGGCACCAGCGCGCCCCTCCGCCAGCATCCCCCGGCTCCCCGCTCCCTCACTCTGCACCTCTGGACCCCACTGCATACCTGCACCAGCACCCATGGCTGCCTGCACCCTGCATCCCATTGCACCCCTCTGCCAGCACCCCCAGCTCCCCGCTCCTACACCCTGCACCCCCAGACCCCACTGCATACCTCCACCAGCACCCGTGGCTCCCTACACCCACAGGCCCCATCATGCCCCTCCACCAGCATCCATAGCTCCCTGGTCTCACACCCCCAGACCCTGTTGCACCCCTCTGCCAGCACCCACAGCTTCCTGGCCCCTGCACCTCCTGATCCTGCACCCAAGGACCCCATTGCACCCTTCCACCAGCACCCACGGCTTCCCCACACCCTGCCCCTGCAGACCCCATCGTGCCCCTCCACTGACACCCACAGCTCCCATGGGCCCTCCAGCACCCGCAGCCCTGGGGAAAGGCTGTCCCTGAGCAGTGGGGCTGGCAGAGCCTCGGGGTTTCTGTCCCTACACCCTGCTGGGGGGATCACAGGGCTTCACCCCATCTCTGGGGGCATCCCTTCCCCCAGTCTTCCTGTGGCCTCCAGCTCTGCCCTGTCTAACGCTGGGCCAGAAAGTGGCCTCCAGCCGTGAGCGTGCTGGCCACCTAGTCACCCCTATGAAACATGCCACCTTACGCAAGCAAGACAGCAGTGCTGGCCACCTCCAGGCCAGTGCTGTCCCCTGTCCCATGCTCCCCTGTGGGCTATTGGGGCCACCGATTGCCCTCCCGTCTGTGTGCAGACGTACCGCGTCAGCGTCCCCTCTAACTACCCCAGGAGTCGCTACAGTGCAAATCTCTCACTGCTGTGACAACACTGAGAGTCTCAGCTCCTGGTGACACCAAGGCATCATCGCGGGGGCACCCAGCACGCTTGTACCCCACACAGCTGCGGAGTGGGGTGCAGGGAGCAGGCTGGTGCAGGGACCGGCGGGTGCAGGGGCTGGGCATGGGGCAGGTGCCCAAAAGCGTTCCCCGAGCAGGAGAGGGTGTCTGTATGGATCTGGCGCTGGAGAAACATTGGTGTACTGGTACAGGTAAATCCCACATCTCTGCCTGGAAAGCACTTGCTTCCTTTGTCTCTCCCAACTTTTTTAGAAATAAAAAACCTCCAGTTCTGAATTGCTGGTGGGACATGGAAGTCTTATTTTCTTCCTAGAGGAAGGCTTACTCCAAAACTTTGGCAAAGGCTGTGGGAAGGGCAGGCCTGACTATGCCGGCCCTGTGAACAGGCAACCCCTTTGCCTCCCATTTGCCCCATATAAATAGTTCGGTCCTCTCCTGGGGTGACTCGGAGGAAACAACAGTCTTGTGTCAGGGAATCGCCCAGCCCTGATCCCTATTGCTGCAGGGGGTGACAGTAATTTGGGGTCCTTTACTGGCCAGGGAAAAAACACCCCAAACAGCAGAGAGAGAAACATGTCCGAGGGAGCCAACAGGTCCGAAGGGTGGCCCAGCGCCCCCCAGGCTGCTGCAGTGGGGAGAGGCCCCCTCCGCGCAGGAGCACCTCCAGAGCTCCAAAACTGGGGCAGCAACACCAAGGGCAGGAGAGGGAGAGCAACATTTGGCACGCAGAGCTGCTGAGGAGCCATGAGACTGCGGGGTCGTAGTCCAGCCCCGAAGCTGCCCTCGAGCTGGGGGGGCAGGAGAAGAGCAGCCCCGGTTTTTGGGGGGGGGGGCCCCCCCCCGCCCAGACCCCGCCTGTCCCTTTCCATGATTCCCACAGTGGTGGAGCCCGTCCCTTCCTGCGAGTCCCTAACAGCGTGGTCCGAGTGCCATCTGCTGGACTGGCCTCGGCCGCAGGGTACCCGAAAGCCAGTGCTGGGCACGAAGCCCCCGCATCACGCTCGCTGCATCGCGCCCCGGACCGCAGTGACTGCCCCACGCCCCCCCCGGCAGCAGCAGGAACGCGGGGCAGAGCAAGGATCGCTTCGGGATTATTCTCTCTTATCGCCTTGTATTTCTTTGATACAGAAAGGAGAGCTTTCAGCGCTCTCCTCCAGTCCAGGTGTCGCTCCCGGGGGCCTGCAATGCTCCGTCCCTGGAGAGCCGGGGCTATGAACGTGCTATCTCTGTGCAGCGGCGTTGCACTTTGAATTCACGGGATAAATCAATGCATAATGTTAAGCACAGACCCAAGTATGTGTAGGTTCAAAGCCTTAAATGTTATCACCTACAGCTATAACACTTCCTCCACTGATCCAGGCACCAGCAATTTCCATTGCTGTGATATCCTTTGGGGAACTATACGGCAGTTTGCATCTCTGCAACCTGATCTTGCCTTTGGGTCCAATGAGTCACTTTTCTTTTACCCTGGCAGGGACGGGAGCAGAAGGCTGCCGGGCTGCTTTGACGGCGCCACTTCAGGGGCCGCTCGTGTCATAGTTCAGTCTGGTGATATCATTACTGTTAATTACAGCACTCATTATTAATTACAGCCCATTAGCCTTGCTGGTGACCAGTGCCAAGACCTGCTTAAGTGGGAGATGGGGGAGAGTTTTCCCTTCCTTTCCAGGCTGGTGAGCTAGAGCTAGCAGGTGTTTTATCTGTGAGCCTGGCTGAAGAAATGCCGCCCTGCTCCCCAGAAAACCACCCTCTGTGGCAGCAGATCCTAAAAATGGCCTTCTTCAGACTCAGGTTTTAGAAGGCACCATATTCTGGCCCCAGCCAAACCCCGTGGGAATACTGTTCCCCAGGGCAGGACAAGGACAAGCTTGGCCTTTCCTGCTGCCTGGTCACGTGGTGGTCCAGTGAAGAGATTTCGGGTGCTCTCTGTGCGTGCGTTTACCCTACAGCAGGGCTGACCGTTCCAGTAACCTCTAGCCATCTCCATCCCTGGTGAATCCAGTATTGGTGGAAACCACACATCTGCAAACACCGTGTTTGCCCAAACCAAATGCAACGTTGCCAGGAAGCAGAGAGGAGTTTGGGGTCTGAAAGACCCCAGTTATTCCCTTTATTTACGGAGCTACAGCTCAGTGTAGCACCCTGTAGATCTTCCTCCTGGAAGCTCACCTGCACCAAGACCCGGACGGCCGACGGCCTGGAAGGAGAGCAAGCGCGTGGCCGTTTCACGCGGGGGAAGGGGCAGGCGCGGGGTTGCTGAGCCCCGGAGG